TCTTTTCCCACCCTGTTTCAGAGGATGCATACAATTTTCCAAGCAATTTCTTTAATCATATTCGATAAGCACAGATGTGATAATCGTTTCTGAAACTTCTAGTTAGAATGGCTCGCCACCCACACACTCTTACAGGAGTGATTAGTTTAGCTCGGAAGGACATGTCGAGCTGTAGGACTAATACATTAGTTTCAGGCTATTAAACGGGTCCCTCTGTACTAGATTTCCAGGTGCTGGTTGTCTGTCTTCGTTAGTCGCCCACGTGTAATCTGTGAAAGATGATGGTTGATCTGTCTTCTCTAATTTCCGGATATCCTACGACTGAATAATAGCGGTGCAATAGAATTGGTAGAGTGCTCGCTTTGTAACCGGGAGACTTTAAAAATGGTACACACTTCTTCCTCTGCTTAGCACTCAGCACATATGAGAAAGAGTGTGGGGAGGTCAAACACACAGCACTACCAGCGGACTATCCCCCTGCTGTAGTGCCTTGCACAACTGTGTGTCGCCCAAGGGGTACGGAAATGGAGATGGGCACCACCCTACGCTCTGCATAATAGCATGGGAGACCTTCTTCTTATTCTACGACTGAATATGCGACTAAAGCCCCTGTCACACATTCAGAACCTTCCCCAAACCACCAAACAACCAAGGTTGGGGTGGATTTTGGGAGCAGTCTGACCAGATTTAGGCCACGCCTACAATTCGACGCGGATCCGATTAAATTTGAGCTAAATTTGAGTCAGATTTGACTGCCAACCACGTCCCGACCACTGCCGACCTACTCCCAACGACCAGCCAACCAGCTGCCAACCATGGCCGAACCTCCCGTCCACATCCGAATGTTAACAGTAGCCAACCTCACCGAACACCTACCGACCTTGCTTCCCGACCGATACCGACTCCCAACCATGATTGGGAGAAGCTCGGCAGTGTTCGTGAGTCCATATTATCATTATTTCTTTATTTACTTCATAGGTCACCACAAAACAAGGCTCATGAGAGCCACTCAAAATATTTTGGATTACAGTACAGCCAGTGAGGACAGATGTTTGTTGACCTTACACTTGAAAAGTTATACTCATAAGGGAAACAATCACGTGGTAGCTTATTCCAAAGCGATGTTGTTCTAGGAAAGAAGCTTTCAGCATGGAGCTTCCTCCTAAGAGGTGGTGAATGGAGGAAGAAAGGCTGTTTTGCTTCGGTGGAAGTGGCAAGACGTGTCCTTGCTGAGAATGTTCGAAGTGGGGGCACTAGGAAATGAAGTTCCATGGAGCATTTGCCGTGAAAGTAGCGATAAAATAACGCAATGCTTGCAACGTTACACAAGTAAGAGTGGTTGTAGGCTAGATGTGACTAAAAGTTCGCTTCCAGGTCATTTGCCCGGTAAGTCACTAAACGTACGCGTCATCAAGTCTCTTTCACTTTAAGATCTCGTTTATTCTCGCACGTACTAAATTCCCGCGAGACTTGTCGATGACGTCTTTCGTCAAAGCTGCCCGCATCCGGGTCACTCATCACAAGGTGGACGTGTGGAGGCAGGATTGACGTCAAGCTGAATTATTGAAAACTCTCCGCACGTCACACTGATATTTTCGAAGTGGTGATTTTTTTTTTATATTCCAACACGTAGTCTGTAATCACAAGACGTGGTAACGGCACACTCAAGTTTTTTTAAACGTATATTAATGCCGCCACCTACACAGGGGTCAGTACACTACTCATTTTCACTTGAGCGAAGTGAGGAAAGTTGTGTACAGCGCCTTTCCCAAGGGCACAAGATCAGTGGCATGTCAGGACTCGAACCCGGGACCTCTTGGTTCCGAGTCGAGCACTCTGCCGCTACGCCACACGACCCCACTTGATTCAAGTGGTGATTCAACTTGAATGACAGCTAAGGGGTCATTTAGGGTCCAATTTTTTTATAAATCTCTCAATGGCTAAAGGATTTTTAAATAATCTTAATGATCTTATCAATGATCTCAGTAATCTTCTAATAATATTTCAATGGTCTAGAAGATAGTCTTATCATCTCCCAACGATATTTAAATGATTTTAATGATCCTTAGCTGATCTCAAATGTCCTTTAATAATCTTTTAATGACCGTAGTAGTTGATTGTTTATAGGTTGCCCAGTGTAGAAATGGGGCATTGCGATAGATCGTTAGCTACTGTTAGTTACAACCGACCTAAAAACGTTTGAAGATTGATTCTAACGCAATAAAGTTATCAGAATCTACGTGCTGTTTCAGATCCGACAAGACAAGTTTCAGATTCGTCAAGAAAAATGTATAAAGTTATCATTTCTGAATGACAGATATATGACTTCCAATATAAATGGGGCCATACGTTATCTACATGAACTACTGTCGTAAGCCCCTGTCACACATAGTAGTTCTTTATGGGGGATTGAAACGATTACATTTTGGGCCCCCTAACACCTTTCATTTTTGATATTTCGTGATCTGACTATGCTCGGGTCTTGATTTTTTTTTGATTTGGGAAGCACTTGTGCTCGGAAATATTAGACGTAAGTTTGGTTCCCCCAGCAGCTTGTTTGGGAACTGCAGGAGCGTTTGTTTGAAAATTTTTGATGTAGGATAACTCTCTTTTGTATCCAGAACCGTAGAGCCATCATGCTCAGACACGGTTCTGAACAGTCCACGCGTGTCCTGAACCGTGCCAGGGGCAAATCTACGTTCTTGGATACACGGAGAATAGCGGGAGTATCCCAAACCCTTGCCTGGTCCTAATCCTAACCCATTTACTAGATAGACACGTGTCTGGATATACGATAGCTCCTTCAGGGCGCTGTGCCATCATGCTCAGACACGGTTCTGAACAGTCCACGCGTATCCTGAACCGTGCCTGTGGCAAATGTACGTTCTTGGATACGAGGAGAGTACCGGGAGTATCCAAAACCCTTGCCTGGTCCTAATCCTAACCCCCTTACTAGATAGGCACGTGTCTGGATACGTACAATAGCTCCTTCTGGGCGCTGTGCCATCATGCTCAGACAGTGAACAGTCTTCGTGTATCCTGAACCGTGCCTGGGGCAAATCTACGTTCTTAGATACGCGGAGACTACAAGAAGAAGACTACCGTGCTCTTATGACGAGCGCATAGGGTGGTGCCCATCTCCATTTCGTAGCCCTTGGGCGACACACAGTTGTGCAGGGCACTACAGCAGGGGGCAAGTCCACTGGTAGTGCTGTGTGCTTGACCTTCCTACACTCTTTCTCATATGTGCTGAGTGCTAAGCAGAGAAAGAAGTGTGTACCATTTTTAAAGTCTTTGGTATGACCCGGCCGGTGTTAGAACTCACGACCTGCCGGTTACAAAGCGAGCACTCTACCAATTGAGCTATTGCACCGGTTGAGACTACCAGGAGTATCCAAAACCCTTACCTGGTCCTAATCCTAATCCCTTTACTAGCACCGTGTTACTAGATAGGCACGTGTATGGATACGATAGCTCCTTCTGGGCGCTGTGCCAATCCAACAAGCCGGCAAGCCGAGAAACGAGTCGTGCGCCTGGGTTTAGAGCAGGTCTGGGGGAGCGAAATGTTCTGTACGTGTCCAAGATATCATCTCCAAGCAGATGTTTTGGTGGCTGTAAAGACAGCATCAAATCGGTCAGGCAGTATCCCATTACCAGGCAGTTACCGTTAAAAATAGGGTTGTGTGGCGTAAAAGCAGAGCGTTCGGCTCGGAACCAAGAGGTCCCGGGTTCGAACCCTGCCATGTCACCGATCTTGTGCCCTTGGGAAAGGCACTTGAAACGACTATCCTAGATGGAGGCCTGGCGAACCCCATCCCGCATTAGCCACAAAAAAAATTAAGGCAGCAGAATCTTCAGCTAGTTGAAGGCGGCTGCCTCAAAATGAAAGAAAAATACAGCCCGGGCGACATTAGGAGCCGGCAGAAACTACGAAAGATGGCACCTAGTCCAGTAAAAATAAAATGTCTTTTATTTTCTCAAAGTAAAAAAAAAGACAGTCCACCAAAACGCCGACACCTCTGCTTGGAGAGTATCCAGGCCTTTCCCCTGTACAAGGCGTTCGTTTGCTAGGCCGTCAATCAATATAGGAAATCAACATGACAAGTAGTGATTGGTTGTCTTGCTAATATGATTTTCTACCGTCGGTCTGGAGTGGGAAAAGAGATACAGTGAGTCGAGTACGTGTATACCCGGTATCTTTTTCCAAAATACGGAGAGACCCTGAAAGCGATCAACATGACAAGTAGTGATTGGTTGTCTTGCTAATCTGATTTTCTACCGTCAGTCTGGAGTAGGGAAAGAGATACAGTGAGTACGTGCATGCCCAGTATCTTTTTCCAGAATACGGAGAGACCCTGAAAGCGATACCCCGTGCTAGTGTGAGCCGGGTATTGAAGCTAATGAGATCTGACGCGATGTTTATTTCATCACCACGGGAAGGTATTGTCCTGAAACACGTGAAGCGCACGGCTAGATCATCACACCAACCAACCTGCCAGGCGTGCTGCAACGATCGGTGTAAAACTCACCGGTGGTAGGCGGGCGGGGGGTTTCATCGTGAATTGGTCACACGAGTCAAAGTCAAGTGCGTTGCCCCGGAGGTGGGTTGATATTGATAGCTGCACGCCCGTTCTGGGAACGGTTCTCTCAGTCTTCCATTTCCGTTGACGTGGCCCGGGGCCCACCTGCGCATGTTCACGCCCGTATAAATGTGGGCTGCGCCCCGCCGTGTAGGCAAAGCCTGCCACACCGCGGGGCGTGCTGACTACACGTGCGAGCAGTAACCTAACACAAGCCGGCAGCCAGGTTACCCGCCTCCGTGTGCTTCTAAATCTGCTCCCCCGCCTAGCGAGCTTCTCGCTTTCAGTCAATCACCGAGCCGGGAACTCAGGAGCGCGCTACCGTTTACTCTAGTTTAGATCACCTCGTCATCACTCCAAGGTCTACAACAAGGCCGGAGGAACGACAGCCACCTTGTATCAACTGCAAAAACAGCAGATCTATATTTAAATAACTATATATAATGCAGTTTGTAAGCTGGGTGTTAGTCGCAAGTCTCCTGGTATCGAGGGACGTCCGAGCCTACATCGTGGACCGGGTGTCTCCAAGACTGCCGCATCGGAGATCCGACATCAGTAAGTAAACCTTGACTTCATGTTGTTCATATAGATACAGTTAAATGTGCAAAGATTAGTGGGGTCGTGGTCGACTCGGAACCAAGGGGTTCCGGGTTCGAGTCCTGACATGCCGCCGATCTTGTATGTGCCCTTGGGAAAGGCATTTTACACGACTTTCCTCACTTAACTCAAGTGAAAATGAGTATTGTCTGTCCTGTATTTGTTTCTATGTGTGGGACACTACACCAGCAATAGTTGCCCAGTGTATTGCACTGTTGCAATTTCAAATCAAATCAAAGATTGAGTGTAACAAGTCGTTCGGTACCGGTGTGATAAAGCTAGCTGCGTAGCGGTGTGGCGTAGCGGCATAGAGCTCGACTCGGAACCAAGGGGTTCCGGGTTCGAGTCCTGACATGCCGCCGATCCTGTGCCCTTTGGGGAAGGCATTTTACACGACTTTCCTCACTTAACTCAAGTGAAAATGAGTATTGTCTGTCCTGTATTTGTTTCTATGTGTGGAACAAGACACCAGCAACATCTGTCTCACGTGTATTGCACTGCTGTAATTTCAATAAATCAAATTAAATCAAAGATTGAGTGTAACAAGTCGTTCAGTGTGATATAGCCAGCTGCCGCCGCGCCGCGTGCCTGTAAAGCTGGTGTGTTACGCCGAAGGGCGGTTATACTGGCTATACCGATACAGACACAGTTAAATGTGTGAATGTTGGAGTTTTCGTCAGGTTTCTACAGATATTTATTAGTTAGTCTTATACTACCGACGCAAACCATCGGTTTTCGTGGGGTCGTGTGGCGTAGCGGCAGCGTTCTCGACTCGGAACCAAGAGGCCCCGGGTTCGAGTCCTGACATGCCACCGATCTTGAGCCCTTGGTAAAATGAGTATTGTACTGTCCCTGTGTTGGTGGTGGCATTAATATAAGTTGAAAAAACCTGAGTGTGCCGTCACCACGTCTTGTGATTACATGATGTTGGAATATATATTTAAAAAATCGGTTGTTTATTCTAAGTTCTAACTCGAGATTTAAGTGCATGTGTATTTGTTTGACCCGGTCCTCTATTAATGAAGCTTTCCTTTAGAAAAATCTCTCATACATGGCAAGAATGAAATCTTCACTTTGACGATTTCCCTTCTTCTCTTGAGGTGCTAAAATACCTTAAAGCACCGTAGCACCTCGCCTATATAGGGTGAATTTGGCACAGAAGACACAGCCAGTGGCATAATAGTCTAGACCTTACGAAACTCACCGTACCATTAACATTGTACTTGTGAATTTTAAATTTTCAATTTTAAAGATACAATTAGCAACAGAGAAACCCCAAATAAAAGAAAGGTATTAAAATCTACACGAATGGCACAACTCGTGTCTACGTGGTGTCCTGTGGCGTAGCGGCAGAGAGCTCGACTCGGAATCAAGCGGTCGCGGGTTCGAGTCCTGACATGCCACCGATCTTGTGCCCTTGGGAAAGGCACTTTACACTACTTTCCTGAGTATTGTCTTGTCATGTATTCGTCCTCTGCGTTGGTGGCGGCATAAAATAAGTTGATATACATGGAACTTGAGTGTGCCGTCACCATGTCTAGTTGGAATGTTGGAATATTAAAAAAAATCGTGTCTAGGCGTAAATGGGTGATTGATCTCTATAACAGACATCTTGACAGAAGTTCTCCCGATGGCACTTTTACCCTTTTCTTGCGATGAAAATGCTTTTAAAGTACGAAAGCTATAAATCTTAGTACTAACGGAGCATGGCGTCTGTAGACTCAATTTCTGCTGTGTTAATATTGCCTCTTAAGTGTCGAAAATGGGCGTTATAACCCCGGTACCAGGTCACTACCTTAAGGGCGACCTTTTCTTGTCGCACATGTCCACAGGTCATCGCGTAATCCAGTGTTCGTTCTGGAACCTGTCAGACTCTATTATGACTAAAGTATCCAGATTAACTGTGCTCTCGATTAGGCCATGTTGATTTGATTATATGGATGACATCCGCGCGCGCATGAAATTTTGGCCGTTTAAAAAAAAGGTTTAACCAAACTGTAAATACAAAACAGTTGCAAAATAAGCAAATATATACCGTAAGTTGCAAAAAAAAAATCTAAAAACGATACTAATGGCGTAGAATGCCAAAATTTAACAAAAAAAGACGAAAATATAAAGAAATGAATTTGAAGAGTAGATTATTCACCATTAGCCTGGGTGCAATCCGAATTTGTAACGATTTTTTAGGGGTAGCCGTTACAAATTCTGATGGCACCCACGCTAAGTCACCATACCATACTCTGTGTCATTTGTTCAACCTTCATAACCACGTAGATTTTATAATGAAATCAACTTTTTTTGCAAAACTTTTTTTTATTCGCACGCTTGCATCAGTTTTGGGGTTCCCAGAGGATGTCATCCATATAATCAAATCAACATGGCCTTAGTGCTTTCCAAACCACACTAGAAGTGCCGCGACTTCTATCCAAGTAGGAACTATCTTCATGAAAGAATTCTTGAACGGTGCGGCCTTCTGAAGAAATGCCCGTTACATTAAGTGGACTTTGCAAATTTTCAAACATGTGTCTTGTTCTTCACACATAAGTAAAGCTTTCCGTCGTTTTTTTTTTCTGTTTTGTGGTCTCGGTGACAACCTGGATACCAGACTCCCTACTGACTATATCTAAGAGAACCGCACGTGTTCTCGCTTTCTCGGTCTATTTTTAGCATGAAATCTTTAAATAATCTAATTCGCACATGTGTAGGGCATGACCGTTCACCACAGGTGAAAAACAAGCACTAAAATAGACATAATAAATGTTGCAACAACGAGAGTTCCAAGAACTACCCCCCCCACACACACACACACCGAAAAAGTCATAGATTTGATAAGGCCACACCGACTAAATTTTATGGATGACATCCTCTGAAGACCCCCAAACTAGTGCGCGCGGGCGAATAAAAAAAATTCAGGCAAAAAAAAAAAATGCTACTAAACCACAGGAATACAAAGCAGGTATTGTGAATTCGCGGCAATACATAGCTACGTGTACGACAAGCCGGTACATGTGCTGGCTTTTTTTTTTGGAATTTATGAATCGGCACTGTACGTATGTACTGAGTTCTTGAGTCGTGGAGCTTCTGTAGCCTGGGTGCCGTCCTACATAGTTACCATCGGCTCTGTATAGTCGCTAACTACCATGGACTATCCAGGCCTAGAGCCACGCCATAGCCTCGGAGGACGTGATCTTTTTTTTTTTGGGGGGGGGGCGAAAATTAATGCGCGCGCGGATGTCATCCATAAAATTAAGTCGGTGTGGCCTAAAGTCGACATACATAGTGCTGACTCGACTAGAGAGCCGTAATTCGGTACGGATGCAGTCCAGTCGTAAATGAGATATCTACGATGTCGTAAAGGGTTCCGTCCCGGCATGCTGGCGACTGTAATAATTCAACTCAGGGCCTCGCAAAAACCCGGGGCAGACGCTTGTGTCCTCTCGTTCCCGGGGGACTCAGTTCACACAACCCTGGGATCGAGACGCGTGGTGAAATCGGGACCAACTTCCGGTGTTCCAGGTAGTCGGTCCTCCTGGTGACTGTCCTTGGTACTGCAGCAGAACTAGCCGATTTCGAACCTTTTGTTTTGGACGTCCTGTACTCTAAATGTTGAAGGAACCCTATCCCATAAGTAACTGATATATGTACGGCAAAAATGAGATGTCACTAATGGAAAACGGTGGCTTCTTTTGTATCGAAGGCTGGCTATTTTGGGTGGTGCCAAAAAATAAAGAGGAATATCACGTAGCTTGTTGCGGGGACAGGTCAAACATTTCAAGTATGAAATGATGACGAAAATGTGCTAAGAAATTACAGTTAATGTCAATACCAGACAGATTTCCTTGCCGGGATATCGTTTTTGCCACACCAATTTAATTTCTTGGTTAACGGATTTTTCTAGAAAGATAATGGAGCGGGCGGGCGAAAAAAAAACGGTCTAGGCATCCTATTATGGCCCAAAATGGTACGATAGGAGCCATGAGGTCAACACACCAGGCTGGTTCAAAATTTAAACAATGAATTTTGAACTTTTAATGACACCACTGCATTGAAAGATGGAATAACTGTAACAACTAGGAAGAAAAGGACTGTTTTCAAATGTTCAGGGCAAAAACATTTTGCAGTTGATTCTGAATTTTTGTTTTTTTATTTTCGAATCAGAAAAAAACGAATCGGGCGAATCCGTTAACCAAGAAATTAAATTGGTGTGGCCTTACTGCCCTAAAAAATTGCCTTCGAACGCCCTTAAGCTCTCTGTCCCTCGGCCGTTCCAGCTATTAGCCACATGGACACGCGTGGACTATCATGACCCACTTAGACATACGAACCAGTACAATAAGTGACGCATTTTTTTGCCAGACGCGTGCAAAGTTTGTCGCGTAGTTTAGTTAGGCCACATGTACACCAATTTAACTTGTTGGTTCTCGGATTCACCTCTTAATTTTTTCTGATTTGCAAAATAAGAAGTGCACGGAAGTCTACAATCTCCGAGACAAGGGGCGATACAAACTTAGTCGCGTTTGGGATTGTATTCTTGCCGCGAAAGCGCCAACTACTTGTAGCTGCATATAGCGGCGAGAAGCATTACTCCAGTCAGAAGCTCTGAGAAAGGTGTTTGATAGACATTAGGCCACAGCAAGTAATTTTTATGGATGACATTAGTCCGCGCATTAATTTTCGCCTGATTTAAAAAAAAAAAAAATTTGTTGCCTTCTGACAGTGGTCAACATGCCGAAAATAGGCCAAGATGTCTGATGCCATGCCAGCAGATAACTATAGAGAGAGGAGATAATAAAATGCTCTGATATGTGATGTTCGCTGTGTTTTTGTGATGTTCCCACTGAATCAAAACCATTTGTCAATGTCAAAATTTTAAAATGTAAGAACCTTGTTTTTTTCGGCCCGCCTTGTTTTGTTCGCCCGCTCGCATTAGATTTGGAGTCTGCGGAGGGTGTCATCCATATAATTTACTTGCTGTGGCCTTCAAAGGAGAGAGAAGCACTTAGGCTATAACTTATAGTGTGTGAGAAAGTCCTCGGCTGATACCCTCTCGGATTTCTTGTTGTCTTCAGGTCCTATCCAGGAGTGTCTTGATGCGGAGGCTGAGACAGAGAACGTGTGTGACGTGTTCCTGTGCCTGGAGCTTGACGACACCTGTCTCATCCAGGGTCTGTACGACCTGTGCCTGAACTTCTTCCGGAACACCAACAACTTCAGTCAATCGGTAAGAAACATTTTCGAACAAGAATTCGGAGATCTCATACCTCCATGAAATATATGAGTTTTTCTAAATGTTTTTACACAGTACACTACAGTACAGAACAAAATAACACAGGTTTTTTGGTTTCAAACACACAGTAGCACCTTTGGCCTGGATATGGTCATGTAGGCTTTTCCCGAGGGAGAAACTCATTAATCAACACGGGCAGGCGCTGCCTCCACCCCTCACATCTGTTTTCCCTGCCACCCCGCACATCTGTTTTCCCTGCCACCCCGCACATCTGTTTTCTCGGAAGTTCTGCTGCAGTACCAAGGTCAGCCACCAGGAGGCCCATATTTGACCTTGACCTTTGACTGGCTTCCTAAGACCTACCAGCATAGCAAATATCATCACAATCCATAAAGGTGTTCTGAAGTTATGCTGACTACAAATGTGCGGAAACACACACACACACACACACACACACACACACACACACACACACACACACACACACACACACACACACACACACACACACACGACGAACAACACACTCTTCTCTCTCTCCCTCTCTCTCTCAGACCATTGGCTTTTTCACTTCATTTCGCCTAAGGCGGTGCATCCGGCTGCTGCACCTATCAATGTAAACCTACTGGACCATTGTGTC